AAACTGGAAGTAAAAAATCAAATATGTAATAAGCTTAACTGCACCTTTATTATTGTAAATAGCGTGTGGAAAGCAAGTTACATTTTTCTATGAAGCTAAAAATTGAGGAATTTAATAGTGAGTATTTTGCATTTTATTGAGATACTACATAAGAAAAGTATTGCAAGAATTTGTCGATTTGCGCTTGAGAATCGAGATTTCTTTCAGTTCAACGATTGTTCATAATGAGTCTCTTTATAAATTCGTTACGTACTAGCACAAGATAAACAAGCTACTAGTTCAACCTAAAAACATGAATACCAGCTTATTTATTAAACGTAATTTATCCCACCAAGGTCTTTATTTGTAGCTTTGGGCCGAATTTTTTTGGTGTCATTGCAGTTCTTGCATCGCTCGCATAACATTACCTTCAGTTTGATATTGTTACCAGATACCAGTTCAATAAAAAATATCTATGAACATGAATTCCACCTTCTTATCCATGAAACGGAGTTCATACGACCAATGCTTTCATGTATTATTTGTGGCTTTGTGAATTTTTCGTCGGTGATGCTTAAGTGCCGGCACGTCGAAGCGGCTAATCAAACATATCATTTAAAGTGTCAAAACAAAGTCTTTCAGCAAGTATCTTCCTGCAGTTTTTCAAAAAATCTCATCTTTATATCATTTCCATACCAATTCTGAAAGGAAACGTATAAACATAAAGCTTTACTTCAAATCAGTGAATCGACGAAGATGTAAAAAGTTTTCATTCAGCGAAAGCAGCACACATTCCGTTGCTGGTTTTACCCACTTTTTTTCCAATTTTTTTGTGTCCAGTTGACCTTTTGACAGACAGGCACCCTTTCTCCTCAACGAACACCTAGTTTATGATTCATCTAAGGTCACTAAAAAAAACAATTTTGATGCACAAAGAAAGAAAGAAAGTCGCCCGCCGGTTTTTTCACATTTTGTCAAACCTGCCGGCAACTTCGTCTTTCGTTAAAACGTGAACTGTAATTGGCTGATTGAAAAAGCCATTGAAATATTTGAGGTAAGGAGAAACCTAGTTTTGATCATAAAAATTATACTCGAATTCAAAAGTTTTAAGCCATCTAAGCCATATTTTAGAATAAAAAAAGTTATTTTATAAAAGCTTATAAAGGCTAGCGCTTGTGCTAATGTTAGTAGAATGTACAGTTTAGGTGATGGTGTGGAAAAGAATCCAAAACAAGCCGATAATTTAAAAAATATTGCTAAGAAGAACTCTGCATATGAGGTGAAAATTGGCTGAGAGACAGATTGGGAGAATTCTTGTGCCCGGAAGGCACAAAGGTCAACAGCGGACATGGAGTGATACGGTTGAGGGAGAAAAGCATAATTCTGGTGCTTAAGTTTCGAAGCGGGGCTGTTTCGCTAGGACTATGAAAGGCAGGCTGATTCGAATGAAGACATGGGACGTCAATATTGTAGTGTTATCATATATTGTAATCGTATAGTTTGGATTACCTGTGTATGTTTATAGATAGTTCGGGTTACCTGTGTCTTGTAACATATCTAACATGGCGGTTTAGTAAATCACACGAGACAACAATCCGTCTAAATCTTTCTCTAAATCATCCATCTTAACACAACATGGTGTCAGAAGTGACTGTCCATCAGGGACAACAGTGATCGTCCATCAAGGAATAAAAAAAACACGTATCGAGTCATCCATCAAGGTATAAAGCAAAACTACGCATCGAATCATTCATCAGGAATAAAATGCCAGATCCTCAGGAGGGAAACCCGTCTATTCTTCAACATGTACCTTTCCCAGAGAAATTAGTGCTTAAGGATGATGCTAGCCGAAAAAAAGACTGGGAAATGTTCAAACAAATATGGGAAAACTACGAAATTTCTTCGCAACTAATCGACCACCCAAAGAGACGCCGAACGGCGACACTATTGACATAAAAGTTTCTATAAAAGTTTATCATTTGATAATGAAGATGACAAGAAAGACATCGATAAAGTCTTGGAAAAGATGTCAGCATTTTGCACAGGAGTAATTAATGAGACATATGAGAGGTATTTATTTAACACTCGATCGCAAAAAGCCAACGAAAGCATAGATGAATTTTATGCGGCTCTACTTTCGCTGTCCAAAAACTGTGCTTTTAAAGAATTGCAAACATCATTGATCAAAGACAGAATAATTGTCGGTATGCTTGACAATTCCACACGACAAAAACTGTTATCAGAGAAGGAACTTACACTAGAGAAGTGTATGGAAATTGCTAGGTCTTTCGAAGCAACGAAACAACGGATGAAAACTATGGAGAAAGGGGAAGAAGACAGTGTTCAACGAGTGCACAAAACGCAACACAAGCAACAAACCAAGAGTAAGTCATCCTCAGAAGGTCAGCCCAAACCATCAAGTAATAAGAAATGCTTCTTTTGTGGTAAAGACATGCACAAAAGACAGTCCTGTCCTGCACGAAATGCCACATGCAATAACTGTGGAAAGAAAGATCACTTTAAAGCTGTTTGTCAATCACGAAATGTGCATGAAGTTCAACAGGACAGTGACGAAGAAACACCACAGGAAAATGCATTTCTTGGCTCAGTTCACCACCAATCATCTAATTTGACTAGTTCAAAAGACTGGACTGTTGATGTATGTATAGACAATAACATTGTCAACTTTAAGATAGACACTGGTGCGGATGTCAACATTATCTCAGATAAGATTTATACAAGTAAATTCAGTCACAAGCCTCTATTGCCACCTAGCAAAGTAATCAAGGGCCCAGATCAGAAACCTCTGCCCATACTCGGCTACATAAAGTGCTCTATCACTAAAGGGGACAAATCCAGTCATGCTGATGTTTACGTTTTGAAAGGGGGGACACCTTTACTGGGACGTGAAAGCAGTGTTACCCTAAACATTGTCAGTCTAGTAAACAACATTGAAATCTATCCTCATTTATTCAAGGGACTAGGTGAAATGCCTATTCCATATAAGATTGAATTGAAACCCGATGCTCAACCCTTTGCCATTCAGTATCCTAGAAGGATTGCCATTCCACAGATGACTAAATTAAAGAAGGAACTAGATCGACTGGAATCTCTGGACGTCATCAAACGTATAACCGAACCTACAGAGTGGTGTGCTCCGATTGTAGTTGTACCCAAATC